TCATAGTGCAGGTGGGGCGAGGGAAAATGGAAACGCTCGTTTCTCAAAAAGTAGAGGGAATCTAACGGTCTCACTCGATCAGAAGGTGGGAAATATATAAATCTAGTCAGCTAAAAAGGTTTGAAATGTATTCAACGCACATGTATAGAAAACTGGTGCATTGGCCAGGTCGGTCAGTATCGGAACTTAAAATGCAAATGCCAGGGAGAACGGAAGCGCTCAGATCTCGCATAGTACACGGAATCAAGTGGTCTCACTCAAATAGAAAGTAGGAAATTTATTCATCTAGTGAAAATAAGGGTTTGAAAGGTAACTAACGCACATGTGTAGAGAAAATGGTGCATCGGCCAGTCTGGCCGGCATTTCGCACTTATAGTGCAAGTAGGGCCAAGGAGAACGGAAACACTCAATTCTAAAAAAGTAAAGGGAATCTAGCGGTCTCACTCGATCAGAAGGTGGGAAATATATAGTTCTAGTGAGCTAATAAGGTCCGAAAGAAATCTAATGCATATGTATATGGAAAATGGTGCATTGGCCAGGTCGGTCAGTATGGGAACTTAGAGTGCAAATGCCAGGGAGAACGGAAGCGCTCAGATCTCGCATAGTACACGGAATCTAGTGGTCTCACTCAAATAAAAGGTAGGAAATAAATTTATCTAGTGAACCTAAGGGTTTGAAAGGTAACTAACGCACATGTGTAGAGAAAATGGTGCATCGGCCAGTCTGGCCGGCATTTCGCACTTATAATGCAAGTAGGGCCAAGGGGAACGGAAACACTCATTTCTCAAAAAGTAGAGGGAATCTAGCGGTCTCACTCGATCAGAAGGTGTGAAATATATAAATCTAATGGGTTAATAAGGTTCGAAAGGAATCTAATGCATATGTATATGGAAAATGGTGCATTGGCCAGGTCGGTCAGTATGGGAACTTAGAGTGCAAATGCCAGGGAGAACGGAAGCGCTCAGATCTCGCATAGTACACGGAATCTAGTGGTCTCACTCAAATAGAAGGTAGGAAATAAATTCATCTAGTGAACATAAGGGTTTGAAAGGTAACTAACGCACATGTGTAGAGAAAATGGTGCATCGGCCAGTCTGGCCGGCATTTAGCACTTATAGTGCAAGTAGGGCCAAGGAGAACGGAAACGCTCATTTCTCAAAAAGTAAAGGGAATCTAGCGGTCTCACTCGATCAGAAGGTGGGAAATATATAAATCTAGTGAGCTAATAAGGTTCGAAAGGAATCTTATGCATATGTATACGGAAAATGGTGCATTGGCCAGGTCGGTCAGTATGGGAACTTAGAGTGCAAATGCCAGGGAGAACGGAAGCGCTCAGATCTCGCATAGTACACGGAATCTAGTGGTTTCACTCAAATAGAAGGTAGGAAATAAATTCATCTAGTGAACGTAAGGGTTTGAAAGGTAACTAACGCACATGTGTAGAGAAAATGGTGCATCGGCCAGTCTGGCCGGCATTTCGCACTTATAGTGCAAGTAGGGCCAAGGAGAACGGAAACGCTCATTTCTCAAAAAGTAAAGGGAATCTAGCGGTCTCACTCGATCAGAAGGTGGGAAATATATAAATCTAGTTAGCTAATAAGGTTCGGAATGAATCTAATGCATATGTATATGGAAAGTGGTGCATTGGCCAGGTCGGTCAGTATGGGAACTTAGAGTGCAAATGCCTGGGAGAACGGAACCGCTCAGATCTCGCATAATACACGGAATCTAGTGGTCTCACTCAAATATAAGGTAGGAAATATATTCATCTAGTGAACGTAAGGGTTTAAAAGATAACTAACGCACATGTGTAGAGAAAATGGTGCATCGGCCAGTCTGGCCGGCATTTCGCACTCATAGTGCAGGTGGGGCCAGGGAGAACGGAAACGCTCGTTTCTCAAAAAGTAGAGGGAATGTAACGGTCTCACTCGATCGGAAGGTGGGAAATATATAAATCTAGTCAGCTAAAAAGGTTTGAAATGTATTCAACGCACATGTATAGAGAAAATGGTGCATTGGCCAGGTCGGTCAGTATCGGAACTTGAAATGAAAATGCCAGGGAGAACGAAAGCGCTCAGATCTCGCATAGTACACGGAATCAAGTGGTCTCACTCAAATAGAAAGTAGGAAATAAATTCATCTAGTGAACGTAAGGGTTTGAAAGGTAACTAACGCACATGTGTAGAGAAAATGGTGCATCGGCCAGTCTGGCCGGCATTACGCACTTATAGTGCAAGTAGGGCCAAGGAGAACGGAAACGCTCATTTCTCAAAAAGTAAAGGGAATCTAGCGGTCTCACTCGATCAGAAGGTGGGAAATATATAAATCTAGTGAGCTAATAAGGTTCAAAAGGAATCTAATGCATATGTATATGGAAAATGGTGCATTGGCCAGGTCGGTCAGTATGGGAACTTAGAGTACAAATGCTAGGGAGAACGGAAACGCTCAGATATCGCATAGTACACGGAATCTAGTGGTCTCACTCAAATAGAAGGTAGGAAATAAATTCATGTAGTGAACGTAACGGTTTGAAAGGTAACTAACGCACATGTGTAGAGAAAATGGTGCATCGGCCAGTCTGGCCGGCATTTCGCACTTATAGTGCAAGTAGGGCCAAGGAGAACGGAAACGCTCATTTCTCAAAAAGTAAAGGGAATCTAGCGGTCTCACTCGATCAGAAGGTGGGAAATATATAAATCTAGTGAGCTAATGAGGTTCGGAAGGAATCTAATGCATATGTATATGGAAAGTGGTGCATTGGCCAGGTCGGTCAGTATGGGAAGTTAGAGTGCAAATGCCTGGGAGAACGGAACCGCTCAGATCTCGCATAATACACGGAATCTAGTGGTCTCACTCAAATATAAGGTAGGAAATATATTCATCTAGTGAACGTAAGGTTTGAAAGGTAACTAACGCACATGTGTAGAGAAAATGGTGCATCGGCCAGTCTGGCCGGCATTTCGCACTCATTGTGCAGGTGGGGCTAGGGAGAACGGAAACGCTCGTTTCTCAAAAAGTAGAGGGAATCTAACGGTCTCACTCGATCAGAAGGTGGGAAATATATAAATCTAGTCAGCTAAAAAGGTTTGAAATGTATTTAACGCACATGTATAGAGAAATTGGTGCATTGGCCAGGTCGGTCAGAATCGGAACTTAAAATGCAAATGCCAGGGAGAACGGAAGCGCTCAGATCTCGCATAGTACACGGAATCAAGTGGTCTCACTCAAATAGAAAGTACGAAATATATTCATCTAGTGAACGTAACGGTTTGAAAGGTAACTAACGCACATGTGTAGAGAAAATTGTGCATCGGCCAGTCTGGCCGGCATTTCGCACTTATGATGCAACTAGGGCCAAGGAGAATGGAAACGCTCATTTCTCAAAAAGTAGAGGGAATCTAGCGGTCTCACTCGATCAAAAGGTGGGAAATATATAAATCTAGTGAGCTAATAAGGTTCGAAAGGAATCTAATGCATATGTATATGGAAAATGGTGCATTGGCCAGGTCGGTCAGTATGGGAACTTAGAGTACAAATGCCAGGGAGAACGGAAGCGCTCAGATCTCGCATAGTACACGGAATCAAGTGGTCTCACTCAAATAGAAAGTAGGAAATATATTCATCTAGTGAACGTAACGGTTTGAAAGGTAACTAACGCACATGTGTAGAGAAAATTAAGCATCGGCCAGTCTGGCCGGCATTTCGCACTTATAGTGCAACTAGGGCCAAGGAGAATGGAAACGCTCATTCTCAAAAAGTAGAGGGAATTGTCAGAACATATATGTAGCTTATGCTGTTGTGTAGGCTACAGTGGGGTATACCATAGGGGGTACAACCCAATTAGGGTTTTGCTATTTGTACTCACTTCACTCATAGTTCATTCATTCTCGCTCTATTTTCCACATGGTATCGAGCAGGTTCCCCCGTGGGAACTGTGCTTAGGGCCCACCACTTTTAAACTTTTGTTTCTGCCCGGAGCGCGCTCCGGGCCCTCGCTCTCACTCTTTCGGCCTGCCCTGCAGGCCCTTAGCCGCCCGCGCGCCGCCTGTCCCGGCCCCTAGCCGCCCGCGCGCCGCCCGTTCAGGCCCCTAGCCGCCCGCGCGCCGCCCGTCCCGGCCCTTAGCCGCCCGCGCGCCGCCCGTCCCGGCCCCTAGCCGCTCGCGCGCCGCCCGTTGAGGCCCCTAGCCGCCCGCGCGCCGCCCGTCCCGGCCCTAGCCGCTCGCGCGCCGCCCGTTCTGGCCCCTAGCCGCCCGCGCGCCGCCCGTCCCGGCCCCTAGCCGCTCGCGCGCCGCCCGTTGAGGCCCCTAGCCGCCCGCGCGCCGCCCGTCCCGGCCCCTAGCCGCTCGCGCGCCGCCCGTTCTGGCCCCTAGCCGCCCGCGCGCCGCCCGTCCCGGCCCCTAGCCGCTCGCGCGCCGCCCGTTAAGGCCCCTAGCAGCCCGCGCGCCGCCCGTCCCGGCCCTCAGCCGCCCGCGCGCCGCCCATCCCGGCCCCTAGCCGCTCGCGCGCCGCCCGTTCAGGCCCCTAGCCGCCCGCGCGCCGCCCGTCCCGGCCCCTAGCCACCCCGCGCGCGCCCGTCTCGGCCCTAGCCGCCGCGCGCGTCCGTCCCGGCCTCACCACCGCCCTGGTGCGCCGCCCGTCCCTGTGCACGCCGCCGTCCTGGCCCCCCACGCGCCCGTTACACATGTGTAAAGAAAATGGCCAGGGACAGGAGCGCTACTTCCTGCTGGTGGTTGACGATACTCGCGTCTACACCACGGTTTTTCCCCTTGCGCAGCAAGGGTGAGGTCACTGAGGTGTTGATCGACTGGATCCGCGCAGCCGTCTCCAGCTGCGGAGGAGCTTTGGCTCTGACTTCCCTGTTTTGCGTCTGCACTCGGACAGAGGCGGAGAGTTCTCCTCTGGCCTCCTGAGTGCTACTGTCGTGCACGAGGCAATCCGTCAGACCTTCACGCTTACGGACTCACCACAGCAGAATGGGATTGCTGAGCGCCGCATTGGCTATGGTCATGGACGTCGCTCGTACGTCCATGATGCATGCGGCTGCTCCCCATTTTCTGTGGCCGTTTGCGGTCAGGTACGCTGCGCACCAGATCAACCTCCACCCCAGGGTCTCTCTGACCGGAGACCTCCCCAGCCCTGCTGTGGAACGGGGAAGGTTGGCGATGCGTCGGCGTTCCGGGTCTGGGGATCTCGGGCGTTTGTTCGCGACCTGTCTGCGGACAAGCTGTCCCCTCGTGCTTCTCCCTGCGTCTTCCTGGGGTTCCCCCCGAGCCCCTGGGTGGCAGTTTTACCACCCCACCTCTCGACGTGGTTCTGTCCTCCCAGGACGTCACGTTCGACGAGTCGGTACCCTACTACCGCCTCTTCCCCTACCGCACTCCGTCCCTCCCCCCACCCCCGCTCTTCTTGGTACCAGGTCCCCCCCCGGTAGTCCCCCTCCCCCCTTAGGGTCCTAGCCCCTTCAGTGTGTTGTCCCAGGTAGACGCGGTCGAGCACTGTCGACGGTCACTGGTGACTCTGGTGCTGCTGCGGGAGCTGAGCCTGGGGGTGCGGAGTCTGGGGGTGCTGAGCCTGGGGGTGCTGAGCCTGGGGGTGCTGAGCCTGGGGGTGCTGAGCCTGGGGGTGCTGAGCCTGGAGGTGCCGAGCCTGGGGGTGCTGTGCCTAGGGGTGCTGAGCCTGGGGGTGCTGCGTCTGGGGGTGCTGAGCCTGGAGGTGCTGAGCTTGGGGGTGCTGAGCCTGGGGGTGCTGTGCCTGGGGGTGCTTCGTCTCGCCGGGAGCCACTCTCCCCACAGGAGCTGCGTGAGTGGTTTGCCAGGCGCTGGAGATGTGCTGCTGGTGCTGGTGGTTCTTCGGCTGCAGAGGGTACTGCTGCCTCGCGTCCCGCCGGTGCTCGTACTGTGGGTGCTGGAGCTGCAGGGTCTGAGAGTTCTCCTGGAGCTGGTACTGCTGAGGGTGTTGGCGCTGAGCCTGCCGTTGGCGGTCCGACTGACAGTGCTCCTGGTGCTGCTGCTGGAGGTTCTGGAGCTTCTGGTGGTGCTGCTGGAGGTGCTGCTGGAGTGGGTACTCCTGCCGGGGCTGCTGGTGCTGTTCCTGCTGTTTCTAGTGTCGCTGCGCGGCCCCGACCGTACTTCGTTGCGCTCCTGCAGCAGGTTCTTGGTCTTCCGCCTCCTCCTCCTCCTCCCTTAGAGGGTCCGCAGCCTGTCCGGTCACAGCCACAGCTACAGCCTGCCTCCCCTTTGCCTGCTCCTTCTCCCTACACTGGTCCGACTGGAGGTCTTACTGAGCGTCGTGAGCCTGCGTCTCGTCTTGTGTCGCCTGTTCGTACTGAGCGCGCTAGTGGTCGCGGGTCGCGTCAGCGTCCTCCTCCTGTCCCTGGCACGCACCGGATGTCACTGCGTCCGTCCACTGCTCCTCTGCGTGCCCCTTTGCCTTCTCCTCCTGCTTCCTCTCTTCCTGCTCTTGCCGACCCTGAGTCGGACTCTCTTCGTGCTGCCAGTCCTACTGTCACGCGTCTCCTTGCTACAGCTGTCAGTGACCCTTCCTTCGAGTCGTCTGCTGCGTCTGCCCTTGTCACTGAGCTTGTCGACTTTGCTGCGCGCTGTCGTCTAGACTACGCTGCTCGTCTTGTCACTGAGTCTGAGTCCGCCTGTCCTCCGTCCGTCGGGGGTGAGTGTGCCCTTGGCACGGACGTCCTTGAGGACAGGCAGGAGAAGTTCCAGTGTCTGGCCGCCGCTTCACCTCGTCTCGCGTCTGTAATGCTAGCCCCTGAGGGAGACCCGGATGCACCAGACATCCCGACTCCGCGCTCTTACGCGGAGGCGATAGAGGGTCCCTACTCCTCTCAGTGGCAGGTAGCTATGGATGCAGAGATGGCTTCCTGGAAGTCCACAGGCACCTACGTTGACGCTGTTCCCCCTCCTGGGGCGAACATCGTCAGTGGCATGTGGATTTTCAGGGTGAAGCGGCCGCCGGGTTCTCCGCCTGTCTTCAAGGCGCGTTACGTGGCTCGTGGCTTCAGTCAGCGGCAGGGGGTTGACTACTTTCAGACCTTCTCCCCCACCCCGAAGATGACCACTCTTCGGGTTCTGCTGCACGTTGCTGCTCACCGTGACTACGAGCTGCACTCTCTCGACTTCAGCACAGCTTTCTTGCAGGGCAGCCTGCACGAGGAGATCTGGCTGCGTCGCCCACCTGGCTTCACTGGGTCTTTCCCTCCTGGTACCCAGTGGAGTCTCGGCGTCCAGTCTACGGTCTCCGCCAGGCGCCACGTGAGTGGCACGACACACTGAGGACTACGCTCGCGGCACTTGGGTTTGCTCCTTCTACTGCCGACCCGTCGCTGTTTCTGCGCACCGACACCTCTCTGCCGCCGTTCTACATCCTCGTGTACGTCGACGACTTGGTCTTTGCCACAGCTGACACTGCTGGACTCGCCTACGTGAAGTCCGAGCTGCTGAAGAGACACACGTGCACTGACCTGGGTGAACTGCGCAGCTACCTTGGCTTGCAGATCACCCGGGACAGAGCACCCCGCACCATTACCCTGACTCAGTCACACATGGTGCAGCAGGTCCTTCAGCGCTTCGGCTTCACGTACTCCTCGCCTCAGGCCACTCCCTCTGCCTACTCGCCACTCGCTCTCAGCTCTGCCTTCGGATGAGTCCGTAGAGTCGAGTGGCCCGTATGCAGAGCTTGTTGGCTGCCTCATGTACCTGATGACCTGCACACGACCTGACCTTGCATACTCTCTTAGCATTCTCGCACGCTATGTTGCTCCTGGGAGACCACCGACCTGAGCACATGGCTGCAGCGAAGAGGGTGTGTTGCGCTACTTGTGCAGTACGTCGGGCCATGGGGCTAGTGCTTGGAGGGCGCAGTCCAGTGGTCCTCATGGGCACGCAGACGCTTCTTGGGCCGATGACCAGGCTACTCAGCGGTCGTCACAGGGTTACACCTTCAGCCTTGGTTCCGGCTCTGTTTCGTGGCGGGCTACCCCGCTCGTCTTCTGTTCTCGGCTCCAGTGTGAGGCTGAGATCTACGCCGGGGCTATGGTGCACAGGAGTTACGCTGGCTCACCTACCTGTTGACCGACCTTGGAGAGCAGCCTCGTTCTCCTCAGTCTGTACGTAGACAACAAGGCCATGCTCGGCCTTGTGTCGAGAGCAGCGACTGGAGCACAGAACGAAGCAACATTGCTCTACGCTACTTTCTTGCTCGTGAGCTACAGCAGCGTGGACAGTTGCGACTTGCGTACGTGGCCTCTGAGGCCAACACTGCTGATGTCTTCACAAGGCACTTGACGCCCTTGTGATCATCAGCGTTGTTGCACGCAGTTGGGTCTCTTGTGCCTGGTCTTGCCTCACTTGCTCTCCTCTTGACCCTTGCTTGTACCTTCGCCTAATATACTCTTGCTCTTGCTTGCTTGACTCTTGTATATCTCTATATATGATCTTGCATGTGAACTGGCCTTCTGGCCTTTGAACTTGTGCTCGGAATGCGTGGTGACTTGTGATCCACCCTGAGCTTGCTTTGCTTTGCTTGACTGGTCTTGTGACCCCTTGTTCTCCCCCACTTTGCCTACTTGTTCTTGTAGGCTATAGTCGGGGTATCCCATAGGGGGTACAACCCAATTAGGGTTTCTATTTGTATTCACTTCACCTCATAGTCATTCATTCTCGTTCTTTGATTTCACATCGGCTAGTCTGGCCGGCATTTTCGCACTTATAGTGCAACTAGGGCCAAGGAGAACGGAAACGCTCATTTCTCAAAAGTAGAGGGAATCTAGCGGTCTCACTCGATCAGAAGGTGGACATATATAAATCTAGTGAGCTAATAAGGTTCGGAAGGAATCTAATGCATATGTATATGGAAAATGGTACATTGGCCAGGTCGGTCAGAATGGGAACTTAGAGTGCAAATGCCAAGGAGAACGGAAGCGCTCAGATCTCGCATAGTACACGGAATCTAGTTGGTTTCTCACTCAAATAGAAGGTAGGAAATAAATTCATCTAGTGAACGTAAAGGGTTTGAAAGGTAACTAACGCACATGTGTAAGAAAATTGTGCATCGGCCAGTCTGGCCGGCATTTCGCACTTATAGTGCAAGTAGGGCCAAGGAGAACGGATGAAACGCTCATTTCTCAAAAAGTAGAGGGAACTCTAGCGGTCTCACTCGATCAGAAGGTGGGAAAATATATAAATCTAGTGCAGCTAATAAGGTCGAAAGAATCTAATGCATATGTATATGGAAAATGGTGCATGGCCAGGTTCGGTCAGTATGGAACTTAGAGTGCAAATGCCAAGGAGAACAGAAGCGCTCAGATCTCGCATAGTACACGGAATCTAGTGGTCTCACTCAAATAGAAGGTAGGAAATAAATTCATCTAGTGAACGTAAGGGTTTTGAAAAGGTAACTAACGCACATGTGTAGAGAAAATTGTGCATCGGCCAGTCTGGCCGGCATTTCGCACTTATAGTGCAAGTAGGCCAAGGAGAACGGAAACGCTTCATTTCTCAAAAAGTAGAGGGAATCTAGCGGTCTCACTCGATCAGAAGGTGGGAAATATATAAATCTAGTGAGCTAATAAGGTTCGAAAGGAATCTAATGCCTATGTATATGGAAAATGGTGCATTGGGCCAGTGCTCGGTCAGTATGGGAACTTAGAGTGCAAATGCCAAGGAGAACGGAAGCGCTCAGATCTCGCATAGTACACGGAATCTAGTGGTCTCACTCAATAGAAGGTAGGAAATAAATTCATCTAGTGAACGTAAGGTTTTGAAAGGTAACTAACGCACATGTGTAGAGAAAATTGTGCATCGCGCCAGTCTGGCGGCATTTCGCACTTATAGTGCAAGTAGGGCCAAGGAGAACGGAAACGCTCATTCTCAAAAAGTAAAGGAATCTAGCGGTCTCACTCGATCAGAAGGTGGGAAATATATAAATCTAGTGAGGTAATAAGGTTCGAAGGAATCTAATGCATATGTATATGGAAAATGGTGCATTGGCCAGGTCGGTCAGTATGGGATACTTAGAGTGCAAATGCCAGGGAAGGAAACGGAAGCGCTCAGATCTCGCATAGTACACGGAATCTAGTGGTCTCACTCAAATAGAAGGTAGGAAATAAACTCATCTAGTGAACGTAAGGTTTGAAAGGTTAACTAACGCACATGTGTAGAGAAAATGGTGCATCGGCAGTCTGGCCGGCATTTCGCAACTTATAGTGCAAGTAGGGCCAAGGAGAACGGAAACGCTCATTTCTCAAAAAGTAAAAGGAATCTAGCGATCTCACTCGATCAGAAGGTGGGAAATATATAAATCTAGTGAGCTAATAAGGTTCGAAAGGAATCTAATGCATATGTATATGGGAAAATGGTGCATCTGGCCAGGTCGGTCAGTATGGTGAACTTAGAGTGCAAATGCCAGGGAGAACGGAAGCGCTCAGATCTCGCATAGTACACGGAATCTAGTGGTCTCACTCAAATATAAGGTAGGAAATATATTCATCTAGTGAACGTAACGGTTTGAAAGGTAACTAACGCACAATGTGGTAGAGAAAATGGTGCATCGGCCAGTCTGGTTGGCATTTTCGCACTTATAGTGCAAGTAGGGCCAAGGAGAACGGAAACACTCATTTCTCAAAAAGTAAGGGAATCTAGCGGTCTCACTCGATCAGAAGGTGGGAAAATATATAAATCTAGTGAGCTAATAAGGTTCGAAAGGAATCTAATGCATATGTATATCGAAAATGGTGCATTGCCAGGTCGGTCAGTATGGGAACTTAGAGTGCAAATGCCAGGGAGAACGGAAGCGCTCAGATCTCGCATAAGTACACGGAATCTAGTGGTCTCACTCAAATATGAGGGTAGGAAATAAATTCATCTAGTGAACGTAAGGGTTTTGAAAGGTAACTAACGCACATGTGTAGAGAAAATGTGCATCGGCCAGTCTGGCCGGCATTTCGCACTTATAGTGCAAGTAGGGCCAAGGAGAACGGAAACGCTCATTTCTCAAAAAGTAGAGGGAATCTAGCGGTCTCACTCGATCAGAAGGTGGGAAATATATAAATTAGTGAGCTAATAAGGTTCGAAAGGAATCTAATGCATATGTATATGGAAAATGGTGCATTGGCCAGGTTCGGTCAGTATGGAACTTAGAGTGCAAATGCCCAAGGAGAACGGAAGCGCTCAGATCTCGCATAGTACACGGAATCTAGTGGTCTCACTCAAATAGAAGGTATGAAATAAATTCATCTAGTGAACGTAAGGGTCTTGAAAGGTAACTAACGCACATGTGTAGAGAAAATTGTGCATCGGCCAGTCTGGTCGACATTTTTGCACTTATAGTGCAAGTAGGGCCAAGGAGAACGGAAACGCTCATTTCTCAAAAAGTAAAGGGAATCTAGCGGTCTCACTCGATCAGAAGGTGGGAAATATTCTAAATCTAGTGAGGTAATCAAGGTTCGAAAGGAATCTAATGCATATGTATATGGAAAATGGTGCATTGGCCAGGTCGGGTCAGTATGGGAACTTAGAGTGCAAATGCCAGGGAGAACGGAAGCGCTCAGATCTCGCATAGTACACGGAATCTAGTGGTCTCACTCAAATAGAAGTAGGAAATAAACTCATCTAGTGAACGTAAGGGTTTGAAAGGTAACTAACGCACATGTGTAGAGAAAATGGTGCATCGGCCAGTCTGGGCCGGCATTTCGCACTATAGTGCAAGTAGGGCCAAGGAGAACGGAAACGCTCAATTTCTCAAAAAGTAAAAAGAATCTAGCGATCTCACTCGATCAGAAGGTGGGAAATATATAAATCTAGTGAGCTAATAAGGTTCGAAAGGAATCTAATGCATATGTATATGAAATGGTGCATTGGCCAGGTCGGTCAGTATGGGAACTTAGAGTGCAAAGCCAGGGAGAACGAAGCGCTCAGATCTCGCATAGTACACGGAATCTAGTGGTCTCACTCAAATATAAGGTAGTGAAATATATTCATCTAGTGAACGTAACGGTTTGAAAGGTAACTAACGCACATGTGTAGAGAAAATGGTGCAATCGGCCAGTAGTGGTTGCATTTCGCACTTATAGTGCAAGTAGGGCCAAGGAGAACGGAAACACTCATTTGCTCAAAAAGTAAAGGGAATCTAGCGGTCTCACTCGATCAGAAGGTGGGAAATATATAAATCTAGTGAGCTAATAAGGTTCGAACGGAATCTAATGCATATGTATATCGAAAATGGTGCATTGGCCAGGTCGGTCAGTATGGGAACTTAGAGTGCAAATGCCATGGGAGAACGGAAGCGCTCAGATCTCGCATAGTACACGGAATCTAGTGCGTCTCGCTCAAATAGAAGGTAGGAAATAAACTCATCTAGTGAACGTAAGGGTTTGAAAGGTAACTAACGCACATGTGTAGAGAAAATGGTGCATCGGCCAGTCTGGCCGCATTTCGCACCTATAGTGCAAGTAGGGGCCAAGGAGAACGGAAACGCTGATTTTCTCAAAAAGTAAAGGGAATCTACGATCTCACTCGATCAGAAGGTGGCGAAATATATAATCTAGTGAGCTTATAAGGTTCGAAAGGAATCTAATGCATATGTATATGGAAAATGGGTGCATTGGCCAGGTCCGGTCAGTATGGGAACTTAGAGTGCAAAATGCCA